AAGCTCAAATGCATTAATTTTGTTGAAGAATGTCAATTCTGTTCCATTCTATTCTTGATTTGGACGAAAAGTGATATATCTATGTATAATTTTGCAGGTATTTTTTCTTTACCGCAATGCTTTATGTTTATGGCTGCATTCTCAGTCAGCATCTTGTGAATACTGTGACTTCGGATAAGTTCTTCTACAGACTTGTGAATGGCCTTATCAAATATCACATGGTCATTTGTTACTTCTTATATATTGCAGGTGTGCAAAAGAAAAACAGAATGACCATAATTCACTTTGGTTCCATTATTTACCACTATATTGTTGACATAAATGCTTTTATCATTGTCAATTCCTTGCAGGAATGATGTGGTTCATTCTTACTCTGAAGAAGAAGATGTATAAGTATCAATTTGGTCAGTATGCATGGACGCACATGATCCTTATAGTGGTGTTCACTCAGTCTTCTTTCACTGTGCCTAATATATTTGAAGGAATTTTCTGGTAACTATAGACTACATGTTCCATGATTTTATGTTCTTGTTTGCTATTGAAAATTTCAATTTGAGGATTACTCGGATTTTATTAACCACTATATATTTAGTCGAAAAAAATGCATTCATGTCAAACTAATACATTCCCATGCGTGTTATTATAATAAACAGGTTTGTTCTCCCGGCATCTCTTATAGCAATAAATGACGTGGCCGCGTACCTCTTTGGCTTCTTCTTCGGGAAAACGCCTCTAATCAAGCTATCCCCCAAAAAGACATGGGAAGGCTTTATTGGAGGTTCTGTAGCTACCGTTTTGTCTGCATTTCTGGTAAATTTAAGTCCTAATATATGAAGATTTCACCAAATATTTTCCTCTGGAAAATTGTGAATAGTCTTATAGTCATATAAAAAAAATGTTTCTATGTTGGGGTTTTTGCAGCTTTCAAATTTTCTTAGCCAGTTTCAATGGATGACATGCCCAAGAAAGGTAATTCTTGTCAAATTCCTACATAGAAAACGAAACAGGGGATCGTGTTATGGATAGTTATTGTGTCAATAGTGAATGCAGGATCTATCAACAGGTTGGCTCAACTGTGATCCTGGGCCGATTTTCAAGTCAGAGTATTATTCATTTTCTACTTGGCTGCCTCAATGGGTGAGTTGATTGTGCATGATCACTTGCAGTTAGCTCCCATGTTTATAAGCAGATAAGAGTTGCACCCCACAAAGGATGCACTACTTCAGGATTAATAATAATAATAATAATAATAATAATAATAATAATAACTTAGGCCATGTTCACTTTTTTTCGGTTGATAATTTCTTCCTCTAGCTTTCATCGAATACCATGTTCATATATATCCATGATTTTCAAACTAGGAATAAGAAATCACTTGTCTCGAAACCTAAAAATACTATTTTTTGCTGTTTCAATGAATTCCTACAGTTCCCATGGAAAGGAATAGCTGTCTCGCCAGTGCAGTTGCATGCTTTATGCCTAGGTTTATTTGCATCGATAATAGCGCCTTTTGGGGGGTTTTTTGCTAGTGGTTTGAAGAGAGCTTTCAAGATTAAGGTGTGCAAAAATTTTCATTTCACTAGTAAGATACAGAGCTTCCTTAAAGCTCCCAATATATCCTACCTCTGAAAATCGGCCTTTGTTCTAGGATTTTGGTGATAGTATTCCAGGGCATGGCGGCTTTACAGATCGTATGGATTGCCAGGTCAGTGGCTCAATTTTTCGTTAATTTTCTTTTAACTTTTTTAAGGTTTTAACTAGTCATCTTTGATTTCTTCTTGCTACTAGACGACCTTAGATCTTTTACTGCTCCTCTAACAGACATTCCTCATTCTATGTAGATGGTGATGGCCATATTTGCCTACATATATTATCAATCTTTTGTTCTACCTCAAACTAACTCTGTCGAGATTATCTTGGATCAGGTTAGTGAATACCTTTTTTTCCCAAAACTTTACGTAATAATACTCATTTCAGAATGGATACAGTGCCATAATAAATGTCCGACGCCTGTGTTATAAGAAGACTACCCAGTTATATTGCAGCTACTATGTTGCAGATAGTAAGAAATCTGGGAATTGAAGAGCAAGAAAGACTATACACGATGCTAGGCCAAATATTCAGAGAAGAATATGGTAGTCTTTGAAGAATGGATGTGGCTATCGAGAGTTAACGATACCTTTAAAGAGCTTTTGTACATGACCTTTGAATTTTTTCTGATGAAGAAATGTAGCATACGTAGCATCTGACTTTTAGGTATTTGGGTTGTCCTGTAACCATCTTCTCAGCTGGCAGTAACCTTTTCAATTTTGACCAGCAGTAATATTGACTTTCAAGTGCTAATATTTCACCAAGCATACACAAATCAAAACTGCTCATTCTTGTTTCAACATCATTATATTGGCTCATGTTATTGTCGTTACATTATCTGAAATCTGGATTCTATGTTGTCCTCGATTCATCCAGATGTAAGAAAGAGATCATATAAATGAGTTTTGCTTCACTGCTACATATATATTGGAATTCCATTCATCAGAAATTTGGAATTTGATTGGCGTGTAAAGGAAAAATGCCAAAATTTACCAGAAAGATGCGATCTGCAGCTGATGCGTCTTGTTGTCCATTGATAAAGCAAATTTTAATCAGTCAATTCCCTTGGTTATGTACTGGATTTCAGCACGCTCTCTCAGCCATTCTAGCACTTTTGCTCCTTCAAGTACCTCTTCTACCTGGCCAACAATAAAAATAATATTTTATTTCACAGTATTGTGTGTGCTTCTTTCCAGTCCTAATATGATAACCAAATCTTGCTGCAACATTGCAGAGAAAAATGAGTGTGATACTCAACAACTGATCTAGTACTACTCTATTTGTAAGGACCAGGAGATACATAACACAAATTGAGGAAAAAGAACATGTGTGAACGATTTGTGATTTGTAACCTGTCCTCTGACACGCTCCTCGTCATATTCTTGGTTGTGGCGTTTAAATTCAGCAATTGAGTTCTCAACCTCCTTGACAAGCTCATCTGTTAATATCTGTATCAAGGAGGAAAAGAG